CCCCCCCCCAGAGGGGAGGGGGGGAATTCTGGGAGTAGAAGTCCACACATCTTAAAGTTGCCAAGGTTGAGAATCACTGGGCTAGACCAAAGGCATTGTATTCTGAAACCCTGTTGTTTGACCCCCTGATACTAAAATTGGATTTCTCATTGGCTTCTCAGGCTTTGCTAGGGATTGCTCTTCAGTGAGGAAAAAAAAGATCATGAGAACATCACTGTAACCTCCCCCTTCTAAAATATCCACCAAGTGAATCCTCAAAGAAATATGCTCATCATCAGACTGAAGACTAGATAGTTTATCTTTTATTTTTTTTAAAAAAGGATGAAGTTTCAGATTGGTTGTTGACTACACATAGTATGTCCAGCAGTTTTTTACTTAATTGTGAGAAGCAAATATTTTATAGTCCTTTCCAAGTGACAAAAAATAAGGTCCAGGGAGGTTTAGCTCCTTGCAGCTGCTTTCCCCCCGACTAATGGATAGTTGATTTTTCCTTGGTAGGTGTGGGATGAAACCTCTCAATAGCCCTTAATTTCCTGGACTTGCTGAGTCAGAATATGTTTGCCTTCTATTCTGTAATCCTTCGTTTGTGTCTGGTTTCCCTTCGTGCCAAGTTTGGAGTTTGATTTGCCTGGAGTTATGGTTCAAACTTGCCCCAATCCAGGCTCAGAGTCTGATCAGATTTGTGCCATCTGTCTCCCAGGAGAGAATCCCAACCTTCTTATGCACATCTCCCATCCCTTCTGAGAAAAGCATAGATGCTGTGGCCAAATCTGCCAATTTGTATGGGAACTCTGATGGCCTGGGCTTAGACACAGCTGTTCGTAAGAAAAGACGGCGCAAGAAGAAGCCAAAGAAAAGGGAGTCACCTGCCAATTCAACTTCAGAAGAAGAAGGGACTGAAAGTGAGAGGTCTCTGGAGGAGAAGCGGAAATTGCTGACTTCCAAGTAAGACTGTACACCAAACTGGCAGTAGTACTGTCTTCTCTTCAAAGGTTTGCTGCTGCTGAGATTCTTTTTAATTGCAGATGTAAGGTATTGAGCTTGGAATCTTTTTTTATCCTAATTTACCCCCCTTTTCATGTAGCTGCTGATCTGCTGGGCCCAGTATCCTTGCTTTATGTATATTCAGTACTTCAGTTGACATGCTGAAAAAGCAAGTTAGGAGGGAAGTATGAAGCAGCTGCTAAGTTAGTACTGTGAAAGTAAGTGCATAAATAAATTGGCCTGCTAATTTCCAAGGATTTGTTTCTAAACTGATTTCAATAAATGAATGAAAAATGTAAAGATAAGCCTACCAAAATAAACAGTGCCTCTAAAATTAGGGTGGCTTCAATGACAGTAAGATTTTTAGTTGTGGCTGCTTGCCCTAAATGCAGAGAGAAATGTCTTCCCTGATTTTAATTATGAAACTTCCATAGCTTTATTGGAAAGCTAAGGTGAGGGAAAGGAAATCCGTGGAAAACCGCAGCATAGTTGGTGAGCTTTCACAAAAAATTCAGTGAATAAGGTGCAGATTTAATATTGGTATTCTAAAGCCTAGTTAGTTTATGTTCTACCAAAATGAGTGTAACCAATCCTCCATATATTATGATTCTTCACAGGTTTTATGAAAATCTTTCACTTGCTACAGGATGGGGAAACAGGAAGTTGGACAAATATCTGACAACTTGAAATATCTATCAGTTTGTATTTAGCTTGGTGACTCAAACTTTCTCAAAACTACTATTATTGCATCTTAAGGCAACTTTGGTGGATGTTCAGGTTTCAGATTTCTCCATCTTGTCTAATGATCATTTGTGTCATGGTTGATTTTTTTCTTAGATTGTCTTTCCTGTGTTTTAAAATAGTGAGACAGACACAGGGAGAAAGGATGCTGAATTGTATATAGCACTTAAAAATCTTAATTTTTCCCGCAATGTTTATGCATTTGCGGTTTAATATATTCTGCTATCATGTAATGAAATGCCTTTTGTGTCTCTAGGTGACAGACTGACATTTCTATAGCCTTCTACTTGTCACATAGGACTACCAATATAATGTGTCAAGTTTTGTGTTTTCTTTCTGAATGCAAATAAGAAGGCACACCCTCCCTATTTGTGCCATTTTCCCAATCTAAATTAATTCATACTGATGAATTTCTCAGGGTTACTCATGCACAACTTCTCAGGTGAGATCTCTGAATTTGCTGAGTGATCTTCTGAGACAAAAGGCAAGAAGTGAGAACTGGTTAAGTGGCTTTCAGAAACAAGTCTGTTCAAATTTTGCAAATTAATTTAATGGGAATGTGGTTCCAAAATATATGTTACCGTTTATGACTGACATGGAAAAAATACAAGTCACATAACACTTGATATATGCTTAGGAACTGCCTCGTGCAATGAAAGCAATGCTAAATTAATGAAGTATCAGCCTTGCAAATAAGGTTCCAACAAGGATTTTTTTTTTTGCTTGTTTTTTGTTTTTGCATTTCAAATGCAAAAGGAGGTGATGAGGAACATGGCCTTTGACTGTAGAATTCTTTCCCATGAAAGCTTGCTTAGCATCTACTTTGATGTTATTAAAATGCCAAAGAAACCCTTTTTATTTTTCCAGGATTTTTTCTTTAATGTCTTCTATGCAGTGAGCTTTTTGTTTGTTTTGGGGACTGCTTTTATACTACTACATATTTATAATTTTAAATTAAAGTCTCATGGGAACGTGTCAAAAGGTGGGGTATAAACCCTTAAAGTGAACAAGGCTGCAGTCACGAACCAGAATCTGCCACATCAGTGGAGAGGCATCCAAATTTGGAGCACAGTGACACTTCTGTATTCTGGCAGTCCACTGATTGAGGAAATCATAATGGCATAGTTGGTTTAATTAAAGCTGAATATATTTACACATAAGCAGCTTGTTCCATTCCCAAAACACAATGAGACATTTTGAGTGCTTGTGACAGAACTCTTTATTTAGTATAAGAGCCACCTAAAAAGTCTAGGTCAAAATCAATTTGATGCAGTCAAAAATGAGCGCACTGTCTTGCCTGGCCTTTCAGACACAACTCTCTCCTTCCATGATTATAAAACATCAGAAACAGGCTAGTGCATGAATAACAGAGTTGCTTCTTGTGTTTAAGTTATACAAGAATATAGAAACAATAGCAACAGGATTAATTCAGCCTCTTATAGATTACTTGTACAGTCCTATCTTTGTGCTTAGAGAAGCAAGACCTGTGGTATATATGTAGAGATTTGGGACCCTGTTTCTCATTTTTCTGACTTGTTACTTTTCTCATTGAAAATTATTTTCATCCTGTTTTTGCGTTAGTTTAGATTTTTCAGAAAAAAATCATATGCATTTTCATACACTTTACTTTCAGGATATGCATGTTGAATCTATTTTTCTAATAAGCACTTTTTTCCAAGCAATTTTGTGCAACAATGCATTTTTATGTACTGTTTTTTATATGTATATTGTTTTAGGTACATTATCAGTTTTTGTTCAGAAAATTGCATTGCAAAATCCAGACATGAACAAATTAATTGCATTCTGATTTGCATATAGATTTGAGAAGTGTAAAGTAGATAAATGTGCATTAAAATTTCTATTCATTCCATTCTTTTCTCCTTAGTAAGTCTGCAAAGAATTGCAACATGCTATTTTATTTCTGTCTTCTGTGTGGTCTGCAAATGGCTATTTTGTAAGCCTCCTGGAGTCACTTATATAGTGAGATGGGCAGTGTATAAATTTGATAAAGAAAGAAAGAAACCAACCATCATTTGGTTATTTAAGAGTCTTACATAAGACTTAACCCACAGAGGTTTCCAGCACTGAAGCTAATGGTGATGCCACAAATCACAATGTGGTGATCATATTATTGTTTAAATCAGCACAAGGCTCTGTCCCGTCAAGAACATGAGAAGTGCCCTGCTGAATCAGACCCCCGGCTGGTCTAGCTCAGCAGCCTGTTCTCACAGTAGCCAACCAATTGCACAAGGAAACCCACTTGTCTCCCAACAGATGGCCTTCAGAGGCAGTCACACTGACATCAAGCTAATGGCCCTTGATTCCCGTGATTTCCATGAATTGGTCCAACACTTTTTTGAAGCTAGCCACGCTGGTAGATAGCACTGCATCTTGAGGTATAACACACTTGAAAGTTATCTATCATTATAGAGATGACATTGTACCTAATTTCTTTCCTGATCAGCAACACACTGTACTACTCCTTTGGGGATGTTCAGAAAGAAGATGGTGGGACTCTACAACTTCAAGAAGCACATCCATACTCTGATGGAGAGCTGGCTCCCCTGCAGAGGTAAATATAGCAGAGATGCAAAAGAGCCAAACAATTCTACCTGTTTAAATATAAGGTATGGTTGTGGAAATGTAATGGTTGCACTTATGGATCAACTATATGTATCCAGACCTATGCCTGTATACAAATCTATACACTGAGTCTGTGTGTAGGCAAATTATGTACGCGTAGACTGTCTATCCAATGGGTAGTCTTGACTTTTCAGTGTATCAGACTGCATAATTGTCTGCACCTTTATACTTTGTACCTGATGTATAGGGTCTGTGCATAGATTCTCATTACTTACTACAGGTAGTAAGTAATTGGGACCAGCAACTCTGTTGCTAAGCAACATGGTTGTTAAGCGAGTCATCACATAACTGTGATGGACTTACAACCTCACTTCCACCATGGTCATTAGGGAAATCACCATGGTTGTTAAGCAACACATCACGTGACCACAACTTGCAATTTCACTGCTGGCCTCTCCATTGACTCTGCTTGTTGGAAGCTGGCTGTGAAGCGTGGAAATGGCCATAATGTGATTGTAGGACTCTGTGATGGTCATAAACTCCCACTGGTTGCAAAGCGCCTGAATCTTGATCACATGACCACAGGGACGCTGTGTCAGTCATAAGTGCAAGGACTGGCTGTAAAGTTATTTTTTCAGCACTGTTGTAACTTCAAATGGTCACTAAACAGAGCAGTTGCTATGCAAGGACTGCCTGTAATTTAAGGGTCAAGCTCTTGTAAAGCAATGCTCACAAAAGACAAGAGAGTATTAATGCAAAATATGTACCTATTAAGTGAAGACAGTTAAACAACAGTAATCAAGAAACAACAATTCTTTTTAGTTAAAAATTGACAATTTTTTGCTACGAAATAATTTCTTAAAATGTGTTAAAAGTTCTCTAAGAATATGATAACAGAAGCAGATTAAGATCTTAAATTCAGGGTCAACTCCACTTCGAATAAATATTCAAAAAGCTAGTTCTGCAAATCCAAAGAGGTTTATTAAACATTTTCAAGATAAACCATATCTGATGTGGTTTATCTGCTTTTTTTTTTTTAAAGGAAAAATGCCAAATTCTAGTGGACATCCAAACTTTCTGGGCATATTTAAAGGAACTCTATGGACTGTGAGTAGAGTGGGGACTTGGAATCACCATGGTAGTATTAGGAGAGCTGAAATATAGCAGGGTTCTGTAACTTGGCACTCCCTAGAGAGATGCATGACAGCTAAGGGGTCTAACTGGAAATTATGACTGACATTTAACTGACAGCCAGCACATCTGGAGGGTAAATAGGGAAGGCTATCATATTGAGCTTCCAGGGATCTTGGCTAACTCTCTTCCATTTACATAAAGTTCTTTGGCTTGTCTCCAATTCTGTGTCTACAGAACAGGATATACAGGTGAAACTCAAAAAATTAGAATATCGTGCAAATGTTCATTTATGTCAGTATGGCAACTCAAAAGGTGAAACCAATATATGAGATATACAGGTGAAACTCAAAAAATTAGAATATCGTGCAAATGTTCATTTATGTCAGTATGGCAACTCAAAAGGTGAAACCAATATATGAGATATACAGGTGAAACTCAAAAAATTAGAATATCGTGCAAATGTTCATTTATGTCAGTATGGCAACTCAAAAGGTGAAACCAATATATGAGATATACAGGTGAAACTCAAAAAATTAGAATATCGTGCAAATGTTCATTTATGTCAGTATGGCAACTCAAAAGGTGAAACCAATATATGAGATATACAGGTGAAACTCAAAAAATTAGAATATCGTGCAAATGTTCATTTATGTCAGTATGGCAACTCAAAAGGTGAAACCAATATATGAGATATACAGGTGAAACTCAAAAAATTAGAATATCGTGCAAATGTTCATTTATGTCAGTATGGCAACTCAAAAGGTGAAACCAATATATGAGATATACAGGTGAAACTCAAAAAATTAGAATATCGTGCAAATGTTCATTTATGTCAGTATGGCAACTCAAAAGGTGAAACCAATATATGAGATATACAGGTGAAACTCAAAAAATTAGAATATCGTGCAAATGTTCATTTATGTCAGTATGGCAACTCAAAAGGTGAAACCAATATATGAGATATACAGGTGAAACTCAAAAAATTAGAATATCGCGCAAATGTTCATATATTGGTTTCACCTTTTGAGTTGCCATACTGACATAAATGAACATTTGCACGATATTCTAATTTTTCGAGTTTCACCTGTATGGTCCCAGAAGCTAACAGAGAAGTGGTGATAATATTTTATGTTTGAAGATGAGCAGAATTGGATCACCTTTGGCTATAACATTGACTGGGAGTGAGGAGATTCAAGTTAAATGAAATGGTGGAACTAGTCCTGAACAAAAAGACAGAAAAGGATATGCACTCTTCCTTAGGAGCACAATGAGCCTAGAAGACAGGAATATAATAGCCAGATTCTTTTTCTACCCCTTCAACTGATTTTGCTCTCTAAAGTTGCTGATATTCCTAAATTTCTCTTTCCTGCCCCATTACATCACCTCTTACGATGATTTCTTGATTCTGCAGATTTCTATTGTGCATTTACCTGCAAAAGGTGAGGTGACCAGTATTCCTCACTACCAATACTAAAACTGTTCTGCTCTATCTCCCTTCCCCAGCCTTTCTCCAAATTGTTCGTCTGCTCCAAAAAGCGACTCTGAATTGGAAATCAGAAATCCTGAACTGCCACTTGGTTCTGAATCCCAGCTACAATGGTCCTGGGGAAGACTGCCAGAGGTGGGTATAGATAAAGGAAGAACCTCTGGGATGCATAGCTTCATTTGTTATACAAATAGATGCAGAAATGTACTCCATCATAACAATAAAAAAAAAATAGCCACATTTTTATGTATGTGCTTGGGACTTCCTTTTTGGTAGTCCTTATAATGGGGTGGCCTACAATATATTTAATATTTTCATGGGGGCCAAGAGTTGAAGTATGCAAATAAATGATATAAGGTAGGCAGGGATATGTCACGCATATGGGCCAGGACAGGGTTTTCAGTATTTTCCTGGGGAGAGGGGATGAATTAATGGACAGACGGATGGATGGATGGACAGATGGATGGATGGATTTACTAGGCGTTTATGCTACCCCAATCATGCCTGTTTCTAGATGGCTTACAGACCTACCTCTAGGAATAAGATTAAAGATATATAACAACAACAACAGCAAAGTCCCCAACACCAAGGACTAACTGGCATATATAATATTCACCCTCAGAAGGTAGCAACACAGAACCAGCCATTATACCCCAAAGGCTCACTAAAAAGAAACTGGTTTTAACAGCTTTGCGAAAGACTAGGAGAGTGAGAGCCTGCCTGGTGTCGAGAAAATGCTGTTCTAGAGAATGGGAATAGAGATGAAGAAGACCCAATTCTAAGGTCCCAACAAGTGATACTCTCTAAGGGATGGGATCTGTAGAAAGTCCAGTCTTCTAGTGCTTAATGGTTGGGCAGAAACCACTAGAAGTAAGTGGTCCTTCAGGCATCGAAAAATGGGGTGGGGTGCGGTGTCTTTGTTTTTTAATCAATGGTATGGCTATTTAAAGTTTATACTACAATTTTTGAATTGGTCTTGCTTCAGAATGGCAACAATTTTCAGCAATTGTCATTCAACAGGGCTCAGTAGATCAAAGGTTTGGAGACTACCTGTGACCTCAGATTATGTATTTCTGATTTGCATCGGTATATCATAAATTGACAAAATAATTGCATGTGAAAGTAATTTATACCTGAGTCATTTTAGGAAGACTGTATCTCATTTATTTATATATAACACATGATTCTTCAGGAAAACCTTACTTCTGGTTAATAATAAAAATCAGTGTGTTATTTCATTTATTTGTATTGTGTTAACATTCTGTGATCTTGCTTTAAATTCCAGTAAAAATTATGTGATTTAGTATTGGCAGTAATATCTCATATACATGTACATGCATGGTGTAATAATAACAACTGTAGTTAGAAGAAGAAAAAAATGTGTCCTGAAAATCATTTTGTTTTGTCTCTTTTGTGAGCTGTTTCACAAGACTTTTTCCCTTCTCAAGGTGAGCAAATCAGACCGTGTAGAAGCAATCAAGCCTGTCCCAAATGTCTCTGCAACAGCAGCCAATGACCCAACCACCATTACCCCTGTGGACAAGACAACTCGCTTTGTGGCTATTACAGCTGGCTCAGAAAGTGACCTGGGAACAGTTGATTCTGATGATACATCATCTTCTCCCATAATTAGGCCAACCCCTGTTTTTCCTTCTGGAAATGGACTTCTGGGAGGTGAAGGCTCCTGTCCTTCCATATGTATGCCTGGAAACCAACTAGACACTGATCATGGACTTCCAGGAGATACACAAGTAATAGCAGCAGTTGGAGAGGATGATGGACCAAATTCCATCAAGGAGACAACTATGCAGACTCCATATCTAGATTTGGAAGTACCTTCTCTGAAGAAACCTTTGTCAAACATAGAGCCCTGCAGTGGTCCAGAGGTGAACCAGGATAAAAGAAGGAGTAAGTGGACATGGAAAGCTATTAGAATATAGTAGTGGAGTCTGTCAACAAAGTGTGGTAGTGTGCATCCTCAAACTCCAACAGGTGTGTGTGTGTGTGTGTGTGTATTTGCTACTTCAATCAACTTGGAACGGCGCCTTCCAGCTATATTTGGATCTCACTGAGAATATCTTTTCCCATGCTCCTGAAGAATCTTGAACAATAACTATTCATACCCTGAGGAGATGGGAAGATGTTCTGTTTTTTATTTTCTAGAATACATTCTATCCTTCCCACCCCTTTTCCATACTCACTTACCCATAGAAACCATGGAGAATCCTGAACTGAGTACTGGCAAAAGGCCTGTTAACATCTTGCATCCATAAAAAAGAGTCCCCCAAATGGGAAATCCACTTTAGAATATTCAGTCTGAATTCAGAAGTCCCCTTTGCAGACAATGAGACAAGTTACTTTATAATTTCCATGTCCCTGGTTATTAAAGGGGGAAAGGGAGATTAATTACAATAATATTTACGCTGCTTACTTGTCAGACTCTAAGCAACTTGTAGTATTGAAAGCACTGAAACATAACAAAATACAAAACAAAACAAAATCAGTTGCTGACTTCCAATTTGTGATGGAATGGAATTATGAAGGCCAAGCTCAGGGAGATAAACATTTTCTTAGCTCACCAGAACCGCGTGGG